GTCTTAGTTGGGGTTGAGCAGTTTCTACAGTTTGAGTTTATACTTAATGTCTGTCTTGCCATCTTTAACAAGTGGCTGGAGCTGTATCTGTTCTGTGGTGCCCCTACCGAGATCTGCATTGAAACCACCAAAGGACTCTGGTACACGACAACTGGACTGACTCAGCAAGCACTGAGACCTTTTGTCTCCAGTTTGCTTGCTTGTTTATCCAGTGAGGAGTCTGACTCCTGATCCAGTGCTTGGAAGCACAGTGAAGAAAGATTTTGATTGTTAGGATCCTGGGTATACTCTTGAGGTTGAGATAAAGTTCCAGGCCTCTTTGTAAGTTACTATTAGTTAAGGATATGGGAACTTCTCAGTTGACTTAGTACCCTTCCCCTCCCAACTCCTCCAGACTGTATGTTTTGCAGCAATGGCCCTAATGCTGTTCACTTTCTTTTACCCTGACAAAACTTTACTAAAGACAATACTGAATTATAGTGGCCTTTTTGGGGCTCCTGGGACAAGACCAGCCTGGTTTGAAAGGAGCCCTGGAGCAAATGGGAGCAAAAATTTCAGACATACAATGGTCCCTTTACTTTGCCCGGAAGGAGAAAGATTAGAAAAAACTCTCCAGCTTCTTGGTCCTCCCTAGAGGGGGGTGTAGGTGTGTGTGTGTGTGTATGTAAGGAGGCGGGAGCTCAAAGTTCTAACCCTGCAATCACAGGGTGGGTTCCTTAGGCTATGAGTCCCCATCGTGAAATGATCTAGGGGCCCCACTAGGAGTAACCTTATTAGCATAAATTCAGGTGTGTCAAAGGGGATATCTTTTAACAAAAGATACTGTATCCCTTAGGAAATCCCAAGGGTTTTAGGAGCTCTGTGCCAGCAACTGGGGACAAAGACCAAACATATATATATTTTTTTATTCCTCAGGTGTGATAGTTTGTATGGAGTTGGTAGTAGTGCAGAAGTAGGTAAGTGAGTCTGGATGTGTTTTGGGACTGGGGACTGATTGGGTAGGGAGGGGGCACCATGGGAACTGGAGGAAACAAGAATCACTACCTCCCTCCACAAGCCCCTATATCCATCAGTAGGAAAATGGGAAAAACAAATTGTGGTATAGTCATACGGAGAATATTAGAAAATCAAAAAGAACAGACTACTGGTGCATACAAAACATGCATGAATCACAGAAATAATATGCTGAGGTAAGGGCATCTGGGTGGTGCAGTCGGTTAAGCCTCAACTCTTGGTTTTGGCTCAGGTTGTGATCTCAGGGTGGTGATCTCAGGGTCATGAGACCGAGCCCTGCATCAGGCACTGTGCTCAGCACAGAGTCTGCTTAAGTTTCTCTGTCCAGCTCCCTCTGCCCCTCCTCCTGCCCCTCCCCCACAGGCACGAATACGCTCCTGCACTCTCTCTCTCAAATAAATCTTTTAAAAAGGAAGAAATAACAACCTGAATGAAGCCAGATACAGAACAGTTTATTCTTTAATTTTTTTTATTTATTTAAGATAGTCACACACAGAGAGAGAGAGAGGCAGAGACATAGGCAGAGGGAGAAGCAGGCTCCATGCACTGGGAGCCCGACGTGGGATTCGATCCCGGGTCTCCAGGATCGCGCCCTGGGCCAAAGGCAGGCGCCAAACCGCTGCGCCACCCAGGGATCCCCCAGAACAGTTTATTCTATAGATTACATTTATATAAAGTTTAAGGACAGGCAAAACTAACTTATGGTCAATATAAGTCAGAAAAGTGGTTACCTCTGGGAAGAAGGTATTGTTTTGAAAGGGGTATGAGGGAACTATCTGGGGTGGTGGCAATGTTATTGATCTTGACGTTGGGTCATGGTTACATGGTTATGTACATATGTAAAAATTAATCTATAAGAGTCTATAAACTTATAAACTTAGTGTTTATTAGTTAGCCCTAAGTAAACACATTCAAGGTAAACATTCAAAGAATAGAAATGGAAGGCAAAACTTCCAATTAGAGGAAAAAGAAAGGAATAAAGACAAATCATTTGATACAAGAATGCAAGAAAGTTGGGGGAAAAAAAGAGGCAAGAAAGGTATGGTTAACAGCTCACAAGAAGCTGGCAGAAAGAAATCTGAAAAATACTGAGCTATATAAGTATTAGATAAAATAGATTAAGATAAAAATGTTATGGGTAATGGGGATCATTACATAATAAAGACATTTACCAGAAATGCCTAGCAATTCTCAATTTTTATATATCCAACAATATAATCTTAAATTACATGAAACAAAACCTTATATAAACATAAAGAGAAATTTCCAAATCCACAATTACAGGAAATTTAAAAACCATTCTCAGTGATTGATAATTCTATCAGACAAAAATAGGATAAGGTAGATTTAAACATCGCAATAGAAGGAAAGAATTCTACCCCAGTATTTGGAGAATATACTTTCCTTTCAAGCATATATGGAACATTACACAGATACACACACACACACACACACACACACACACACAGATCCACAGCAGGTCACAAAGCAAGTTTCAAGCAAAAACCAAAGAATGGAGATCATACAAAGTATTTTAAGGAAAAAAAACCCCAAATATGTATGTTCAAAAACTTGAAAACATACTTCTTTATAATTCATGAGTCAAGAATGAAAATGAGCAAATGTTAGGAACTGAGGAACAATGCAAACACCATGTTTCACAGCTCAGGACATGCTGTTAACTAGCATATAGAGAAGAAGTTTTAAACTTAGATACAGCAAGTAGAAGAAATATTTTTTAAAACTCTTAATGCACAGTCAAAAAATTAGGACAAAAATAACACAAACTGTAAATCCAAAGAATGTGGAAAGAAGAAAGACAATAGTAGCAAATAAAATAAAAACAAAGTATCAACAAAGAAAAAGGCTGCTTCTTTGAAAAGATAAAAACTTTTGGTGAGACTGGTTACAAAACAGAACACAGCTATCCATAAAATGAAATTTCAAATTAAAAAAAGATGATACACTTATAAAAGTGTAAACTACAAAAACCAAGTCAAGAAATTGAAAAAAAAATCTGAATAGCCTTAAAACTGAAAGAAATTTAGGCAAAAATCTCCCCAGCTCAGTAAGGGTATGAAAATTTTAGGCCAATGCCCTTTATGCTCAGAAATGTAACATTTCTATGTAAAACATGAGCAAAGAAAAATAAATTTATTTAACAATAAATACATCATGAATTGGTAGGCTTACCTTAGAAATATAATGATTTAATAATGTGTTACTGCAACTCATGAACTGATGTGATGCTTTTAACTTCTATTCATGCACATTAAAAAATCTTAAAACCTTAAGAATGTTCACATGAAAGTCAAACATAAAAATGCCTGCTTTTATCACCTCTTTCAACATTATGTGGCTATTGCAGTAAACCAAATTAATGCATATGTACATACATATGTACACGTTACATACACAAATATTGACTTCTCATGACTATTAATGTTAACTTTTCACATAGCAGCCTTTGAAAAATCTAAATTATTTTAAAAAGCCCTCAAACACATTATGGTTTTTTCAGAGAGTAGTTTTAGATGTCACAATCTCAAGCACAGCTATGTTCACCAAGTTACTCTTCACACTTAGTTTCACTCAGAGAATATTGTAAGGAACAAATTTGAATTGTGTAACCTGTTTGAACCTAAAATGCTTTGTTTCACTGAGATGTACCTCCTTTTTGGAGAGGAAGAGGCAAGGGCTTCAGTTGGTTTTGCTTGCCTCAGGTGCTACTGTGAGGAATGTCTAAGGCTCTCATGTTTTCCCTTTATTTTTCCTAAAGGGGACTTTTTGTGCAATACCTTTATATTAAAGCGCAGTACTACATAAAACTATGAGCCCTTTGGAGTTTGGCAAACGGATGAAAATGGTGCAGAAGGGGAAAGTGATGCATCCAAAGAATGACTCCCTCTTTTTCCTATTCTAGCAACCAACCCTCCCCCTCAAGTCTTCTCTTGCCCTTGGACAAGTGCAAAAATTCTTAATACACTTTATTTATGTACAAACTGCGTTTTTAAACTTTTCAGTTACTATTTCATTTTTTCCGTGGATTTTTTTTTTTCCTGTTTGAAAAAGTGGCTCAGCGGTTTAGCGCCACCTTCAGCCCAGGGCGTGATCCTGGAGACCTGGGATCGAGTCCCACGTCGGGCTCCCTGCGTGGAGCCTGCTTCTCCCTCTGCCTGTGTCTCCGCCTCTGTGTCTCATGAATAAATAGATAAAATTTAAAAAAGAAAGGAAAGGAAAGGAAAGGAAAGGAAAGGAAAGGAAAGGAAAGGAAGGAAAGGAAAGGAAAGGAAGGAAGGGAAGGGAGGAGAGGGGAGGGGAGGGGAAGGGAGGAAAGAAAAGAGAAGAAAAGAAAGGGGAAGGGGAAGGAAGAAAATGGCTTGGATAACTTGGATTAGAATACTTTATAATTTTTCTCCTTAAGGGGCCCCCGGGTGGCTCAGCGGTTGAGCGTCCTCCTTTGGCTCAGGTCGTGATGGGGGCGTTGGGGGGGTCTTCGGGATGCGGTCCTCCGTTGGGCTCCCCGCAGGCAGCCTGCTTCTCCCTCAGCCTGTGTCTCTGCCTCTTTCCGTGTCTCTCATGAATAAATAAGTAAAAAAATCTTTAGAAACATTTTTTTCCCTCAAGAGTGATGGGGAAATCTTTTTTTTTTTTTTTTTTTAACCTAACGGTCTTCATTGCGCAACCGAGCTTCCAGGAGTGACGGTAAGCCGGGGCAGGCCAGGAAACGGAAGCTGGAAGACCTACCTCGGAGCCCCCCCCGCGCCCCCCGGCGCCCCCCGCGCCCGGCAGCCAATCACCACCAGAGCCCCGCCGGGCCGCGCACCCGCCGGAGGCTCGCCTCAGCCTCCGCCTGCGCTGCCGGGGCTCCGCCGCGACGCGCCGCCCGACCGGTAGGAGCCGCCGTCGCCGTCGCCGTCGCCGTCGCCGTCGGGGAGCGCCCCTCGCCCCCCCGCCGCCCCCGAGCCCTCGACCGACCGGCCGACATGGCTGAGGCGGATCGCCCCGGGAAGCTCTTCATCGGCGGCCTCAACCCCGAAACCGACGAGAAGGGCCTCGAGGCCGCGTTCGGCAAGTATGGCCACATCAGCGAGGTTCTCCTGATGAAAGATCGAGAAACCAGCAAGTCCAGGGGCTTCGCGTTCGTCACCTTCGAAAGCCCCGCAGACGCCAAGGCCGCCGCCAGAGACATGAACGGCAAGTCCCTGGATGGTAAGGCCATCAAGGTGGCCCAGGCCACCAAGCCGGCGTTTGAGAGCGGGCGGCGGGGCCGCGGCCGCCTGAGGGGCCTGCGCGGGGCCCGCGGCGGCCCGCGGCGCCCTCCGTCCCGGGGCGGGCCGGCGGACGACGGCAGCGACGCGGGGGATTTCGACCCGCGGCCCTCCAGGGCCCCGATGCCCCTGAAGCGCGGGCCGCCGCCGCCGCGCAGGCCCGGGCCGCCCCCCAAGAGGGCCGCGCCGTCGGGCCCGGCTCGCAGCGGCGGCGGCGGCGGCGGCGGCGGGATGCGCGGGCGGGCCCCGGCCGCGCGGGGGCGAGACGGCTACGCGGGCCCGCCGCGCCGGGAGCCGCCGCCGCCGCCGCCGCCGCCGCCGCCGCCGCGCCGCGCCCCCTACCTGGGCCCCCGGGAGGAGGGCTACTCGCCCCGAGACGGCTACTTGAGCCGAGACTACCCGGGCGCCCGCGACCCCCGCGAGTTCGCCGCCTCGCCGCGAGACTACGCCTACCGCGACTACGGCCACGCCGGGGCCCGGGACGACTGTCCGTCGAGAGGCTACGGCGACCGAGACGGCTACGCAGGGCGCGACCGCGACTACGCGGACCATCCGAGCGGAGGCTCCTACCGAGACCCCTTCGACGGCTACGCGGATCCGCGCGGCGCCGCGGCGGCGCGGGGGCCCCCGCCTTCCTACGGCGGGGGAGGCCGCTACGGCGAATACCGGGGCTGCTCGCCCGACGTGTACGGCGGCGGCCGCGACACTTACGGCGGCGGCGGCCGGAGCGACCGCTACTCGCGGGGCCGCGACCGGGTGGGCAGGGCCGACCGCGGGCTCTCCCCGTCCTTGGAGAGGGGGTGCCCCCCGCCGCGCGAGTCTTACAGCCGCTCGGGCCGCAGGGTCCCCAGGGGCGGAGGCCGCCTGGGAAGCCGCCCCGAGAGGGGGGGAGGCCGCAGCAGGTACTAGGCGCCCGCTGCCGACGACCCACATTCCGTTTTCCGAGAAACTAGCGGAAAGAGAAGAAGAGTCTGTGCGATGGTGAACTCTAACCCCAAGGACTCGTGCCAGGAAGAGTTTTTTTTTTTTTTTTTTTTTTTTTTTTTTTTTTACCTTTTGAGCGTTCTCTGTTAAGCTTTCTCTCCCTAACCTTGGTGCTTTTCGGGAGGAAGAAGTTAAAGCTCGTTTAATTGCTCGTTTAACGTTTTGGAATTGTTTAACGTTTCTTTCAACAAGCTCGTGTTAAAAGTATAAGACTTGAACCCGCGTACTGGTCTTCTTATATTTCCAAGTAAAAATCCTTCCAAAGGCTTCCTCCCTCCTCAATTTTCCTGACAAATGAGACAGACAGTTCTCAAACCGTTTGCAAACATCTGCCCGCCAAAAACGGAGAGAAGGATCATTTCTATTAATACAGACCAACTAGATTTTTTGTGGGGGGACGAGTGGGAGGGAACTGGTGTATGCCACTCTTAAGATTGCGGGGTGTCTTTCAAATCCGGGCTCAGTGCTCCCAGTATTCTTTTAAAAAAAAAAGTGACCAGCAGCAACAGCAAAAATCACTTAGATGCATATTTAAAGAAAGTTCTGTTCACTCTATAAGTCTAAAAAAAAGCAAGTCAACAATGCTGGCCATATTTTGTTTTTTATTTTGTTTTTGCCTTTACTTTGGGAATCTGCAGGACCTCCTGTTCCCTTTCTCCCCAAAATACTGTTCATATGTGTTGAACAAGAATGGAATCCTAAGTTAAAGATTTGGCCAACCAACCACAGAGCTGCAAAATCCCCAAACATCAATTAATAGAATTTATTTTCACCACCAACAAATTACTAAGAAACAAGTAGAAAATACGGTAGTGGATTTGGGGATCATAGGGCTTTCATTCCTAACTCCAAGCTACTTGCCCTTGGCTCTAGGGCTGGCTGCTGGCTCCTGTGGAGAGAATTAGATTTCTACCCCTAGGGGTGGAGGAATCAAATGTGAGAAGCATCAGAGCTCAGAAGCTCAGAGAATTCTTGAGAGAGCTTGGCATTTCAACATCTGAGGATTTCATCCTGGTGTGAGGGACCTGGGTCCGTTCACAAGAGGCCAGGGGATGGGTTGAGGGTTCGGTTCTATTAAGGTGGGGAGAAGGACTTGAACAGACAGAGATCAGAGAGGCTCCCTCTAGAGTGCCTCAGGAGGGAAAGTGAACAGTCTCTTCTTTCCACCCCAAGCTCAGGGCAAGAAACACCTTTTCCAGTTAAGCACCTGTGGAATTTCCTGGTTTATCAGAGAGAGAGAGAGAGAGAGAGAGAGAGGTAATTGCACCTCAAGGTGCAAGGAGCTCTAGCGGCCAGAGAAAAAAGGATCAGGTTAAAATAGTAGGATTCATGTTCTGCATAATAATTGCTGGAGGAAAACAGATGAGCACCTGAACTACAACAACAAAGTACTAGAGATCTGAATATACCACACTCACATACACAACTCTAAAAATACAGTTTTTTGACAAAGTAATAAAGTAGGGGATTTACAGGAAAGGCTGCATTAGTGGCCCAGAAGATCAAATGCAAGAAGTAGCTTAAAAAAAAAAAAAAGTCCAGGACTCAATCTGGCAAAAATGTGTTATAGCTTTATGGAAAAATTGTTAATGTTTATTAAAGGACCTACAAGAAGAACTAAATAAATGGGAGGTTTGTATCATGTCATGGTTGGGAAACACTTTTTATTATAACTCTTCTCAACCTCACCAAATTAATTTGGAAATCAATACAACTTCAAATGAAGTTACAACATGATTTTTCCACACAGCTCTCTTCTCTTTCTCAATAATACCCATCTATTTGTGTGAACAACGATGGAATACTAAATAAAAGATTTGGCCAACCGGCCACATAACAAAACAAAAGCTTCAATTCACTACAAACAAATGATGAAGAAACAGGTAAGAAAAAAACACTAATGGGAGTTTTAGTCTAATAATCCTAAAGCTTATATAGTGAAATAAAGAGCAAGAAGGAGCCAAAGCAATTCTGAAAAAAGCAATAATTAGAAAGGACTCACTCCACCAGATACCAAAATTTGTTACAAAGTTAGAGTAATTTAAGCTGTGTGATATGGACAGACAAGGATAGACAGACCAACAGAGCCAAAATAGTGAGCCTAGCAAAAGGCCCACTTGCATATGAAAACATGATATATGACAGAGGTAACTTTGAAAGTCACTGGTGACAGGATGGACTTTGTTTTTGATGGCTATCTCTTTGCAAAAAGAGAAATGAGATTCCCTAACTCAGCATACACAAAAATACATTCTAGATGGTTTGAAGATATAAATCTGAAGAGGAGATTTTTTTAAATACTTAGAAGAAAATAAAGAAGAAATGTATCACACTGAGGTAGAGAACTTTTTAAGACATAAAACACAATCCTAGGAGGAAAATGTTAATAGAATTTTCCACGTTGTTAAGATTTTTTTATGATAGGATACTTAACAGTGAAATATCTAACCATACATTGGAAGAATTTATTTGCATTGAAATAACTTCCAACAGAATGCTTAGGAACCAGTAAGAAAGAAAAACCCAAGGAAAAAAAAAGGGGGCGGGGGCAAAACGACTGATACCTTTCTGATAGAGGTATAAATTGACATAATCACTGGAAATAATTTTGGCAATGCCTAGCAAAGTTGGAGGGTGCATACCTTATGACCCAGAAATTCCACTTCAAGGAGAGGACCTAGAGAAGCTTGCACATGTACACAGGAGATTTGCACGAGTCTGGGTCTTAACTGCACTCCTGGAATGTTAAAAAGTAGAAGGTCTACCTGGAGTGGATCAACGTGAGGTTTATTCTTATAATGAAGTTCAATGTAGAAGCTAATGAGAATCGACCATATCCACATGCAATCTAGGTAAATATCATAATATTTGTTGGGTGAAAAAGGCAAGTTGCATAAATATAGGTGTAATAAAAAATACATGATCGGAGTGATACACGGTAAAGTTGGTAAGTTTTGCGTGAGGAAAGGAAGGTGGGATGAGTGGGCTTTAGCTGAATCTGCAGTATTCTGTTTAACAGATGGGTTTTAAGCAAAAATGACAATGTTAGCATCTTAAATTTGTGTCTGTACATTAGCATCTCCAGTATTCTATAATTTTGATATATTTCGTACTGTAATCTTTAACATGAAAAGTAGAGCTTAGCACAGAGCCAGCATATAATGGCTACTCAAAAATGTTAGTTATTATACTGAAACTGTCTTTCAGATGTAACACTCTTTTGACAATAACTGTCCCTCTTGGCTTTGTTTATGGGTGATGCCTTATTCTATTTGACTCAGTTTATAGAACCTCCTGTCATAAACTGCTCACAGCTGGCTCACCATAACCTCAAGAATGGAATTTGCATATCTGAGGGCCAAATCTTAGAGGAAAGTGTAGTTTTTCCCTTTAACATTCTTTCAGAAGCATAATAGGGATGGAACTTTTTTTCCAATTAACAAAAATGCCAATTTCTGGAGAGTGACCTCCTGAATATTGAACTATTAATAACTTTTATTTTTTAACGATTTTATTTATTTATTCATGAGAGAGAGAGAGAGAGAGAGAGAGAGAGAGAGAGAGGCAGAGACACAGGCAGAGAGAGAAACAGACCCCACACAGGGAGCCCAGTGTGGGACTCGATCTGGATCCCGGGTCTTCAGGATCAGGCCCTAGGCTGAAGGCGGCGCTAAACCGCTGAGCCAAAGGGCTGACCCTTAATAACTTTTTAAAAAGAAAACATTTAGAAATAAAGTCTCCTGCAGAGCTTAGATGAGTTCAAGAGATCATAGCATACAAAGGTTTTGGCTTTCTCATGCACATACACAGTAGAGCAGCCCCAGTGCTTCTTTACTGGAAATTAATGCATAAAGCTATTTTTGTAGGAAAACATGTAAGAGATCTAGCAATTGATAATTCTTGTTTATAATTGCTTTCATAATGATGAGAAAAAGATCATACCAGGTATTTCACAGGACCTACCCACTGGGGGCAGTTTAAAGAATGTGCATCTCATAACCCAAGCCTTTGTGTTTTCTATCTTGAGTTTGGCTCAGTCTACTCCTGAGACCCTCTCTCCACATTCCTTCTGTCCAAAACAGGGTTCCAGGAGCATCGAAAGTATCCATGTGGCTACTGACAGTATTACTGACTGTCCCCCACCAGGTGAGGCCTGAATGTCTTCCATCTCTGATTGCATCCTGCATCCTGTTGTGGGTCCTGGGGCTCTCTGGAGGGCTGGAGGTAGACCTCTTTCCTAGAGGGCGTTAGCTCCTCTTTTTCCCTTGCTGCAGGCCAGATAAGATGGGGAAGTATTTCCTGCTTATATTCCTTCTACCTGGTACCCCTAACATCTCTCAGCCTTTAGATCATTGGGGTTCATGCTGCCACCCTTTTAGCCTTTACCTTAAAAAGGTTGTGTGATTTTCCTTCTTGTACAGAAATTTCCTTTTGGGGGACAGTTACTCTGTTCTGGACTCAAGCATATTTAAGAACTCACCAAGCAGAATCAGATGGTGTTGCTTTTGCTGTGCACGTATGGAATCTAGTGGTAGTGGGAATTCTTTCAGAATTCATATGTTTGTGGTGATGTCTGAAGCTAACTTCTCTTACAGTATGGCACATCTAAGAACTCTTTAAAAATTATTCTGAGTATAAATATTTTGAGGCTGACATTTAATATGGGAATCAAGTACAAAAAATAAACTATAGCTACTACAAAGCAGTGATGACTCTATGGAAGGCATTCCACTATCATATTTACTAAAATGTTCCAGGAGAATGAAAAAAATGTGAGGATGTATTATGAAATTCTTAGGGAAAGCATTAGGAAAGAATAAGCTTCCTTGTAATATTTGGAGGCTGCTTGTTATAGTAAAAAGGTAATCTTGGTCATATGTATGAGTCTTCATTCTGTTATTTAGGTGACTTGGACAATTTTTTTA